ACACTCCGAAATCGTTTGAGAATTACGAAATATCATAAAGGAAAAGACCAAACGGGGGCCAGTTGCTCGTTTATGCCTATGCGATACACGCAAATAGATGATCGGTGGTTGTGATATTATTTGTAAAAAACCTTAGCGTTCTTCTAATCCTGCCCTCGTCTAACTCAAACTCCTTTGATTTAGAGTTAAGTTTGTTCATCAGCCATTGGAAAAATTTTTATTTGATGAAGAAAATCATGATAATCTGTAGTGTATAAAAAAGTGTGTTTTTAAAACCAACAAGTTAATTTTTCGTACTCCTATCTGCCATAAACCTGCGAAATTGCACGAAAAACGAAATTTCTTACAGGAAAAACGAAATTTCTTACAGGAAAAACGAAATTTCTTACAGGAAAAACGAAATTTCTTACAGGAAAAACGAAATTTCTTACAGGAAAAACGAAATTTCTTACAGGAAAAACGAAATTTCTTACAGGAAAAACGAAATTTCTTACAGGAAAAACGAAATTTCTTACAGGAAAAACGAAATTTCTTACAGGAAAAACGAAATTTCTTACAGGAAAAACGAAATTTCTTACAGGAAAAATGAAATTTCTTACAGGAAAAATGAAATTTCTTACAGGAAAAACGAAATTTCCTACAGGAAAAATGAAATTTCCTACAGGAAAAATGAAATTTCTTACAGGAAAAATGAAATTTCCTACAGGAAAAATGAAATTTCCTACAGGAAAAACGAAATAAACAGCATGGGAAATGGGTTTAATTACATAGAATAATAAGTATTTGGTAATATTTAAATTTTTACTTGCCTTTAGACACACTTTATTCCTTAGTATCTGATAATCATTTAATCATAATTCAAACGAGTGGGATTACGAATGTTCAAATTCAACTTTACGAACAAGTTTATTCGAGAAATAATAGATAATCTGAACGACAGATGAGAGAAGATTTAACTTTGCTTATTCTGTTCAAGTTTTTAATTTAATTTCTACTAAAGTAGATCTGATGTAGATTCAACTGAATAAAAAGATGTTTATTCCTGAAAAGTTCCTTCGTCATATTTGGCGTTTTCAGCGCTTGCAAAAGTCACTTAAAACAACCGATGGTCGCGCACTCAATATTCTTTCACTTGGTACGTTTAACACCCACGCGGGTCCTGATTTTCTCAATGCCAAACTTGTTATAGGCGAAGTACATGTAGAAGGTGATATTGAGATTCATTCCCTTTCGTCAAGTTGGCACAAGCACAAGCATAGCACGGATTCACGCTATGATAGTGTTGTTCTCAATGTTGTGTTTGACAATGACGTGCAGTTGCTTCACGCACCGACATTAGAGTTAAAACATTTCTTAAATGATTCGCTTCACAAGGTAATAGTAAGTTGCATTAAAGATGAACAAGATTTACAGAAAACACAACACATACCTTGTCATCCGCTCAATTTAGATGTACCTATTTCTGAGCGAATGTTACTGTTGGAAGCGCTTGCTCTTGATAGGCTTTTTCGCAAGGGAAATGATCTCATGTCAAATTCTTTTTCAGTGCTCAATGAATTCCTAAATAGCCCAAAAATGTATTTAGAGTTAAAACTCATATATGGAATATGCGTTGCCTTAGGTTACAGCACGAATACAAAGCCAATGGCTCGCTTAGCAGAACGGTTTCTTGGGCTATATCCTAACATGATATTGTTAAAACCGAGTACATTCACGGAGCAGCGTGCCATTATAGAAGCTATTTTATTTTTACTTTCGGGTCTTGTTCCATTGAGAGCATCATTTCATCCTCATTGCGAAACAACCTCATCTGACGATAGAGAAAGCGAGTTAGAACAATTCAAAAAGTACGCGTCCATTGTTAACGGATTGCCTTTTCAACTACCTAAACCGCTTGGTGCGGACGAGTGGATGTTCTTCCGACTTCGTCCATTCAATTTCCCTACATTGCGAATTGCAGGTTTTGCTGAAATTGTTGCGCGTCATTTACAGCAGCCTTTTATTGAGGTTGTAAAAGACGTTGCGAAGTCGTCCATTTCGTTAAAAAGGAAGGTGGTGTATATGGAATCACTCTTCTTAGTAGAACCCTACGCGTATTGGAAAACGCATTTTCGATTTTCAAACAAAGCAAGTCGGGTTCCTTCACTTATAGGTTCATCTCGCGCAAGTGAAATTGTAATTAACGTACTGTTACCCCTTATGTACGCAGAAGCAAAGCAAACAAACGATGAAACAGGGATCGCCGCCACATTAGATATTTTCAAGAACTATCCAAAGCAGGTTGCGTCCACGCTGTCACTTGAAACCGTTGAAAGTTATTTAGGTTCGGATTTTACGGTTAAATCGGGCTTTGTTGAGCAGGGAATATTAGAATTGCGAAAAAATTTCTGTAATGAGTTCAAATGTTTAGAGTGCAACATAGGGACAAGGTTTTTGAATCGCTAAATATTTGTCAAATTTGAAAATCATATCATACGATGAGGTCATTAGGTACAGAAAAATTCACAACAGCAAGAAAACAAATAAACGTCCTTACCATTGGCGGTTCAGACACGTCGGGCGGTTCGGGGGTTCAGGCTGATTTAAGAGCAATCACTGCGTTAGGATGTCATGGATTAAGCGTGGTTACAGCAGTTACGGCACAAAACAGTTCAGGAATTGCACATATTGAATCTATGTCCGAAGAAAGTTTGAAGCACCAACTTGAGTGCGTAAAAGAAATGGCACCGCTTGCAATTAAAATTGGAATGCTTTATTCAAATCCAATCATAGATATTGTGGGTCATTTTATTTCAACTCAATCAGTTCCGATTATTTTGGATACACCCATGCAACCCACGTTAGGAGGATTGTCGCTTTTGAAAAATGATGCCTTAACTAAGTTAAAACAATTAGTTCCGCTTGTTACCATGATTACACCAAACATTCCCGAAGCTGAAATACTGCTTGGCAGACCGATTCATGATAATGAACATTATAAAAAAGAAGCCGTGTGGGAACTTATCAAAAAGGGATCAAGGTATGTTTTGCTCAAGGATGGTCATTCCGAGAATACAAGTCATTCTGTAGATTATTTTTGTGACGGAAGCACCATCCACGCGCTTAGTTCTCCAAGAATCAAGTTACTTAATGTACGTGGAACGGGATGTACATTAGCGTCGTGCATTACTGCACATCTTGCGAGGGGAGAATCCGTTTTGAACGCCATTTCACAGTCTAAATGGCACATTCAAAAAATATTTGAAACATTGCACTCAGAACTTACGCAACACGTTCCCAAAACATGAGAATCATAAAATTCCAAAAGCGAAGTACAACTTGATGCTGTAATTCAATTAAAACAAATAACTTTGCACATACAAAAACAATCTAAACGTCACCTTTCTTATGATTAAAATTAAAAGAACTGTAGCCTATAGCATTTTATATTCACTTCTATTATTTACCATTCTCTTTCTCTCTATTTTTAAATTTGATTTATACTCACAAGACCTAAAAGAAAAGCAAACACCATTAACCAAAGATATCTCTACGTCTGTTTCTGTAAATCAGCAGAATTATTTTCTCTATAATTTTCCTTTTAAGAATGATATTTATTTCTGTGGTGAAAGAGTACCTCTTTCAGAATTAGAAGTATTTGAGGCTTTTGAGCGAGATTTTCTTATGAATGTAAACGACAGGACACAAATGACCATGTTTATTAAACGTGCGGGTCGTTTTTTTCCATTCATTGAAGGCGAACTAAAAAAGGCAGGACTGCCCGATGATTTAAAATACTTAATGGTTGCAGAAAGCGGTATGTTAGACGTAGTTTCGCAAGCAGGTGCCGCAGGGTTCTGGCAAATTATGGTCAAAACAGGACGACATTATGGGCTCGAAGTAAATAAAGTTATTGATGAACGGTACCATTTGCTTCGTTCAACTCAGGTCGCAATTCAATATCTCAAAGATGCATTTAGCCAATTCAAATCATGGTGCCTTACTGCCGCTGCTTACAATATGGGAATAGACGGTATGTCTATTATGTTAAAAAATCAAGCCAAAAATAATTACTTTGAACTTTGGCTAAACCGAGAAACCATTCGCTATGTATACAGAATTACCGCTATTAAAGAAATCATGCAAAACAAGGAAAAATATGGATATGGTGACGTTATTCCCTACAAGCCCCTCTACCTTACTCTTATTTCAGTTTCACAAAAAATACCCGACCTTGTGGCTTGGGCATCAAATAATGGTTACTCTTACAAAGACATCAAGTATTTAAATACGTGGATTAAAAAAGATTATTTACCAGCGCCCACAAATTCTATTAAACAATATATGATTTTTCTCCCCGCAAATGGAAAACTCGTTAGCACAAAATAGCAAGGACGCTATTAGAAAAAATTATCTCAAAACGCGAAATGTACTAACAAAGGATAAAGTTTCGGAAAAAAGCAATGCCGTAGTAGCTCAGTTTACAGCATGTTCCGCATTTGCTTTTGCTGAAAAAATTCTTATTTATTCGCCAATTAAAAACGAAGTACTTGCCAATTTATTAATCGACACATACCCAAATAAAACGTTTTTCCTACCCGTAATTCAAGAAAAAACGCTCATAGCTCAACCTTATTCGGCAAATGTAGCTCCAAATAAATTTGGCATTTTAGAACCGTGTCTATGCAATGAATCGTACGATGTCGATATTCAAATTGTGATTGTCCCATGTGTTGGAGTGGACATAGTTGGAAACAGATTAGGTTACGGTAAAGGCTATTACGATCGCTATTTTGCTAAACTCAATAAAGAAAAGCTATTTCCGCTCATGGTTGGACTGATTTACGATTTTCAATTTTCACACGTCATTTTTCCAACACAGTCACACGACATTCAATTAAATGCTGTCGTCACAGAACAATGGGTTCGTTTTTTCAAATAATTTACGTCGCATCCTGCTAAATATTGCGTGTATAACTCAAACCTACGCATAACCAAATAAGTGAAAACCAAGGTGGGAGTGCCCTTGGGCAGACTCGAACTGCCGACACACAGTTTAGGAAACTGTTGCTCTATCCACCTGAGCTACAAGGGCAAAAAGTTAAAACAGAACGTACCAAAATAAATACCTTCTTTCAATACTATTGAAACACAAAGTTAATATTAAGTCTTGTGTATAAAAATTTAAACTGTGGCTCGAAATTTTCTGTGGATTAGAAAATCAAATGAGAATGATTGAAACAAAGTTCTATGAATCGGATATTTTTTTACACATCACCATTTCCACAAAAATTGTGAGGGCTGCCAAAATTAGCAATACTTTCCACAATGAAGAGGTTTTCATACCCTGTTTAACTAACTCGTTAATATTTTCAAGATTTGTATATGCGTTTAAATAGTGTATTTGTTGAGGTTGAAATTTTGCAGCAATAGATGTTTGTGCAGAATCTTCAGTAACAACGTTCATATCTGATTCGATAATATTAGGGTTGATGGAAAGCGTAGCTTCAGCTGCGGGTAAATCTGACGTTACAAGGTACGACCCCAATTCATCGAATAATTTAGGTTCAACGGTTAATTTTTTTTCATTGTTCAAGTCCTTGATGTAAGGAATAAACATTTCTCCTGAAGGCTTTTTAACCTTAATGTTTTGTAAATCCCACTGCCCTCCAAGCAATTTAAATGCTGCGGTACTTCCTTGCGTGAATTCGGTTGTTCTTTCATTGGTTTTTCCTGATGTTACAAAGATAGTACGAAACAAAAATGGCGCAAATATAGGTTGAAAAATGAAATTAGTTATTTCAGGAGTCATTTGCGATGTGAATATCATTACTTTCTTTTTTTCAGTTTGATTCAAAGAAAATAGAGGGACTCCCAAAGTAGTACTAACCAAAGTTGCTTCATTGACAGACGGTCGATAGTTTGCTATCTTAAAAACCTCTGTAAAATCAGGTTCTAATTTTTCATTTATCCCTGCAAATTGACTAAACATGCCACTTATGATTTCTGATTTGAGTTCTATTTTTTCTACTTTGGTTCGTTTTGTTCCGACCTCCACTATTTTTCCAATGCCTAAGGCTGCAAAAAAATTATTGTAAGAATCATATTTCTGCAACTCCGGAGAAATGCCTATAAGCAGTCCACCTTCATTCATCAAAAAGTTATTCACTCGCTTTATAGTATTATGAGTAAACTCCGTCACGTCTGCAAAAAAAATAAAATCATACACATCTAAGTTTTTACCATCAATAAACTTTTCGTGAATTGATGTAACATCGAAAAAACTTGTATCCGAAAAACTGTTGATTGAATGCACAAAATACTCAATATTTTCTTTTTTATTATAGACAATCAAAATTTTAAGTTGTTCAGGAACAAAGAATGAAAAATAGTATGAATCGTCGTATTTCAATTCGTCTGGATCAATATGCAATGATGCTCTTATATTTCCCAATTGCGTTACATTGGCGCTAAACAAGGATTCCTTTTCTTCATGTGCATCGAGTTCAATACTTTTTTCAGCAACTAACTTTTCGTTGAAATATAGTTTGGCTTTACATCCACGAGTATTGCCCGAATAATTCTTCAAATGAGCTTTGATTTTTATTTGTTTGTCAGGTTCAATAATTTTAGTATCAACAACTACGGATTTAATACCAATATTATTTTTTTCACCTTCGGGAATAATAGGTATCAGCATCACGGCAATATCTTTAGCAGAACTAATTCGTTCTCCGTTGCTCCAATAAAAATTACTTACTTGCATATCAGAGACAACATAAATTTCCTTGCGGTTATGTTTTCCATTTTTTAGTGTTTGCATGGCTAAGTTGATTCTTTCTTCAATAGGCATATTCAAATTACTTAACCTAACCTTTAGGAGTCTATCATTCAATTCATCATAAGATAATGGTAAAAGTTCTTCATCATAAGTGCCGTAGAGGGACAAAAATGTCTCGTCATTGCTTTTTGTAGTTTCAAGTATTTTGAGTACCGCCTTCTTTGCATGAACGAGCAATGAGGTACCATACTCCTGTTGATAGCCCATTGAATGCGTAACATCAACGATAATTAATCTTGAAACGTTGTCATCATTTGCAGGCAACACACCGCCACCGTTTGCACAACTGAAATAAGGTTTAGAAAATGCAAATACAAGTAGCAGAATAATAATAGAACGAAGGATAGCTAAAATCCAATGTTGCATTTTAATATTGCGGAGTGACTTTCTTTGCATATCTAACAACAGGAGCAAAGAACTAAAGTAAACTGTTTGTTTTTTTTGAAAATTTATCAGGTGGATAATTATCGGTACAGATACCGCAATTATTCCTAATAACATTAATGGATTTGTAAAAGTCATGATTAAATGATATTAAAGTACAAAACTTGGATTGGATTAGTGATTTTTTCCATTTTATTTTTTTCTACAATTCTTCACGTTCTTTTTCCAGAGTACAAAGTTATATTTGAACGTGCATTCCATCTCATCTGCCATGGAAAGGCGGAAAGGTCGTTTTGGATATTTGAACAACCGATGCTGTTGTGCGCTCGTTGCGCATCCGTTTTTCTTTCATTCTCGCTAAGTTTTCTTTTTCTTTCATCAGCATATTCAAAATCAAAACAAATTCTTGCGTTTAGATTATTCACAGTTGGGCTCGATGTTCTATTTGAATTGGCTGGGTTGTACAATAACCTTTTTCCAATTAGAATTGTAACAGGCACGATTCTCGGATTTTCGCTTGCCAACATTTTGTTCATACCCGAATGAGATACGCAACACGATACAACAAATAGTGCTGTACCATGTACAAAGATAATCATCATTCAATGAAGTGGTCGTTTCTTTATTAACCCGCCCCTGGTATCTCTAACAGGATATTGTACAACAAACGCCCTACCGTCTATTTTATCTATCTCTAACAATAAATTAGTAACCTCTAATCGTGTTACGACGCAAAGCAAAATGCGCCCTTCATCTGTATCAAATTCACCCGACGACCCATAGCCCCCTTCCGATTTAAGTACAGTTACCCCACGCCTGATATTCAATGTAATTTGCTTTTTTATAGCGTCCGTATTTCTCGAAACAATTAAAACGCCAATATATTCTTCAATACCATGGATAATAAAATCCGCAGTTTTAGAAGCTGATGCATACGTAAGCATAGAATGCATTGCGGTTTCAACGCTTGTTAAAGCAATTGCTAAACCGAATAAAACTACATTAAATAATGTAATAAAATCCCCCACTGTCAAACTACCTTTTCTGCTCACAATTATTGCTAAAACTTCTGTGCCGTCAATAACAGCACCACCGCGAATTGAAAATCCAATGCCCGCTCCTAAAAAAACACCCCCGAATACAGATGTTAGTAATTTATCTTGCGTGACAATAGGAAGCGAAACACTATACACAAGCAAGGACAAAAAAACAATCGCTAATGTACTTTTTAACGCAAACAAATAAGAGATTTGCTTCGCTCCAAACAGTATAAATGGAACGTTAATTAACAGTATTAAGTAAGAAAGTTCAATATTTGTCAAAATTTGAAGCAATAACGCCACTCCCATTGCACCGCCATCTAAGTAATTATTTGGCAATAAAAACCCTCTCAGTCCAATGCATGCAAACACACCCCCTAAAAAAAGAAATACGAAATCCTTGAAATGACGTGTATAAACTAATCTGGACATTCCAGAAATATTTCTAACTCCATATAGACTTTTTCTTTTCATAATAACAAATTATCACATAACATTAGTAGTACGTATTCGGCATACTTTAACAAACACACATCATCACTAAGCATTTCCAAAAATAATTATTCTTCACAGTCTAAAAAAATTATGGCAAAACGCAAAACCCCCAATGTATTAAACAACCTATTTTTATTCTAACGGAACGTTATCTTTGATTTTCAAAATGTCACGCCTACATAAACGAATATGATATTTAAGAATAAACAACACCCACCGACCCCGAATAAAATGAACGTAAAACGTATTGCAGTATGCTGTTCAGGTGGCGGCTCTAACTTAAAAGCGCTCGTGTCCTATTCACAAATCAAACCCTTACCCGTAACGTTCACTCTCTTTATCTCCGACAAGCACGGTACAGGTGCAGAAGTATTTGCAAACAAATGTGGAATACGCTGCAAAATTTTACAGCAACGAACCTACACAAGTGAGGCATGTTATGAACGGGCGTTCCTTGATTTACTCCGTGCAGAACACATCGACATCGTATTGCTTGCAGGCTACTTAAAGCGAGTTCCGTCCGAAGTTGTAAAGGCTTATAAAGGCAGGATGCTCAATATTCACCCTTCGCTCTTACCAAAATTTGGCGGCGCAGGAATGTATGGTATTCACGTACACGAAGCCGTTGCAAAAGCAAAAGAAAAAATAACAGGCGCAACCGTCCACTTCGTTGATGAAGAATTTGATACAGGCAAAATCTTACTCCAAGCCCAAATCCATTTGAACGGAACAGAATCGCCCGAAGAAATCGCCCGCAAAGTACTCGACCTCGAACATAAACTCTACCCCGCCGCTTTGGAACAACTCATTTCATCTATGCACTAAACAGTACCTAAAAATGCTACCACATAGAGAAATCTTTTTTCTGACGATGCAAATAAAATTAACTTTGCTTAACATTTGATTATGAACCCATGACAAAAACAAACAAAACTCGAACCACAAGCCCTCTATTCGGACTGCACGTCGCAGACTGTGTTACATTTATCAAAAATATGCCCTCTGAAAGCATCGATTTGATTGTAACAAGTCCCCCGTACGACAATTTAAGAGATTATAAAGGCTATTCATTTGATTTTGAATCAGTAGCCAAAAGTTTATTTAAAGTAATCAAAGAAGGTGGGGTTGTCGTTTGGGTTGTTGGAGATAGAATTAATGGCGGACGCAGTTTAACCAGCTTTCGACAAGGTTTATATTTCCAAAAATTAGGGTTTGCAATGCACGATGTTATGATCTATCAAAAAAAAAATACACCTTTTATGCGTTCAAACTCCTATACAAACTGTTATGAGTTCATGTTCGTGTTATCAAAAGGAAAACCAAAAACATTCAATC